ATTTATGACTGGCAAAACAACTTCCTAATTCAAAGAGAGAGAGGAGAAAAAAAGACTTATAAAGGCTCAGAAGGCTTTTTCAACATCAAATAGCTTTTACTAAACAACATTTTGATGAGTTAAGTGCGAGTGAGTCAGGGACATATGGATTAAATTTCCCTTGAAATACACATGGGTTTAAAAATTAAGGGGAAAGTCCTAAGCACTATGTATTTTAGAGAATCCAGAATGTTTAAAAGGTATTTTCCCCTAAACACAAATATCAGATTGAATCAATTCTATTTAGACTCTGTAACTAAAATTACATAAAAATAAATATGGGAGAATCTTTAAAAAAAACACGAGTTCTGTCACAGACAGAATGCTCCCTTTGCCACGTTGGAACTGCATTGCTTGGAGTAGCAGGGCTTTGGCAGACTGTGCTGGCCAATGCATTTGTATCTACGTACAGTATATAGCACATGTTCCTGTGGTACTTACCTTATTCTGTGTCTTTGGTTCATACTTATTTAAATTTTTTATTACATTTAATTGCTGTACATCTTTATGGTGTAAAAAAAATTTTTTTTACCAGCATGAATGCAGAACATATTAGTCAAAGATATTACCAGATATATTATCATCAATAGATAACTTTTCATTTTTGTGTCTGAGAAATGTTTTTCCCTCCGATCCCCTTTTCCCCACCCGCCATTACTCACCATCTCTTATACTGTCTGCAGTATCTGCAGTTGTCCTCCCTGCATTCTACTTTACAATCCTCCAGTGTCTGCCATCGAGTGCAAATCAACAGCAACTGTCCACACTTTCTTTTAAAAAAAGTCACATGTACCTCTGAAAAACTCTTAGCTTGTAGGATTCTATTGTTCCTTTCATCTTATTTTCCTAGATTCTTGAGTTCTCCATTGTCCTATATTGCTATAAGTTTCACTTCATCCCCTTTCTGGCTCCGTTTGTCGGTAACATCAATTTACACGTAAAAGACTCTGTGTCTAGTATTTGGATATTCCTAATTAGAACATCAAATTAATAGCTAACCAACTCAGTTTTCTACTTTCATGCATTAGGAAAGACAAATTATAAGCTCTAAATTTCCTGCTTTTTTGGGGTAGTGAGGTAGCTGTAGCAAAGCTAATTCTTCAGAGGATTCTTTGCCTATCACAGCCTGTGAATACATTTTACATACTAGATATTCATGAGATGTTCATGAGTTGGTAAATGAGTGAGTGAATATATTTAGGAGATTTAGGGATGGAAAAAGGATCAACCTTAAGAAAAATTCTAAGTAACGCCCCTGGGCCCCTCCTACTTTTTTTGTTTTTCCATTTAATAAGTAATTTTGCTTTGAGTTAGTAGAACAATGACTATAGGAAATGGAAACAATTTGACCAGTTTACTAGAAACAGTTTGCAACCATATTGCCCACTACACAGAGGACAGTATACCCATGAACTATCATAGGCATCAACATGCACCATGAGAGAGGTGGACTGACACTTTGAAGGGCCTCCTAATAGAGCTCTTACTTCCTATAGTTTTCTTTTTTTTTTTTTTAATAATTACTTACTTAATTTAATTTAATTTGTTATTATTTTTTAAATTCAACCAGAGAGAGAGAGAGACAGAGAGGGAGAGAAAGAAAGCAATCAAGCTGCCAGGTCTAAGACTAGAACTTTGGTCAGCCATGTGGGAGTCCAGCACCTTAATCCACACGATCTGCTGGTCCAAGTTTTCTCATTCTTTTTTTAAAATTAATTAATCAATTTATTATTTTTAATTTGACCAGAGAGAGACAGAGAGAGAGAGGGGGAAAGTGATAAAGCAAACCTCCAGGTCCAAGACTCGAATCACAGTTGGCCATGTAAGAGTCCAGCTCCTTAAACACCATGCCATCTTCCTGTCCCGAGTTTTCTCATTTTTAATTTTCACCATTTTTTTTAAGTGAGTTTCAGATTCTTGACCTTGTGTGGGTGTTATGTATGTGCGAATGTGTGTAAGGACTATAAATCTACTACGCTGAAGCCCACATAAAAAAATCCAGCTCTTACACTCTAACACTTCTTCTTATGTTCTTTTTCCTATACTCTTATTTCTTAATAAAAATATTATAATAATCCAATTACATAAGACAAATTTTATTGTTTAGAGAGATATTTTTTGATTAAAGGTACCAGTGAGTCTTAATGTTAATAAGTGAGAAGCTTAAGAGACATTTAGTTAAAATGACACAATTTTAGTAGAAATGGGGATAGAACAAAGATTAATTTAACTTTAGATGTTCCCATCCTAGAAAATTCAAGGGATGAACTAAGCAATTATTTGAATGTTTCAGTTGTATGAGCAGCTAACTGATAATTCAAATTCCAAAATATTTTGTCTCAGTAACTAAGGTAAGTTTTATTTTGCCTTATGTTTTTTATATCAACTAACTGGAAAATTATCTTGGCTGTCTAGCTTACTTTGCCAACATACATTTTTTCACTGGGATGCTGTTAAGGGCAAGAAATTATGTTAGAAGATTTCTTCATGGTTCAAAGGTACATAGTCTATGCTTGCTGCTGTTAAGGACTCTATGGTGTAAAATGATGGAGAAAACATACAGAAAAACATTTGCAATAAAAGGCCTGCATGGTAAGCATCTTAAGGATGATACCACTGTGGTAAGGTAAAGCACTGTAATGCTGAACCCATATGGGAAGGTCTAGTGCTCCAGCCTGAAACCTTCTTATGCATGCCAGGAGTGTGTGCATGTGATCTAGGCTGGCTGAGGCCGGGGGTGGATGGTGGTGCCAAGACTGTGATGGGGTGCCTATCTCTCTCTTCCTCATGGAAGAAATAGTAAATAAACTTAAAAGAAGAATAATACAATCAAATGGTATGTGGTGGCTATTAATAAAGAGAGGTAGGTGTTAGGGAGGATGTGGAGAAATTTGAACTCTCATGCAGCACTGATAGGAATGTAAAACAGTGCAGGCACGTTGGTAAATAGTCTAGCAGTTCCTCAGAAAGTTAACACAGAGTTATTATTTGGCTGAACAATTCCCCTCTTAAGTATTCCCTCAAGAGAAATGAAAGTATATGTTCATATAATACCTTATGCATAAATGTTCATAGTAGCATTAATCACAACAGCGAAAGGTGAAGGCACCCAGTATCCATCAGCTAATAAAAGGGTGAACAAACTGTGGTACACACATGCAATGGAATGTCTGCCATACAAAGGACACACACTTGCAACATGGATAAACCTTGAAAACATCATGTTAAGGGAAAGAAGCCAGGCATAACGACTACACATGATTCCATTCATATGAAATGCAAAGATGGGCAAAAATATAAAAACAAAAAGGTTAGTAGCTCTATAGGAAAAGGAAAATTGGAGGTGACAGGTAAAGTGAAAGATTTCCTTTTGGTGTGTTGAAATATTCTAAAATTGAGGTGGCAATGGCTGTTTAACTCTGCGAACATAGTAAAAAATCACTGGGCTATACATGGTACATGGGCCATTTATATAATATGTGAATTTACATCTCAGTGTAAGTTTTGAAAGAAGTCTTAGCAAAATAATCTTATGGGGGGGGGTCATAACATTGGCCAGTAAATATTACCATAGTGTTTTAAATGGGATTTAAAAATAGGTACAATTTGGGCCAGCAGATGGTGTGGTAGTTAAGGCACTGGGCTCCCACATGGTCGACTATACTTCAAGTCCTGCATCCAGTGGCTTAAAACTTATGTCAAGCACATTAGCATGTGTGCCTAAAATACCAGGAGAAAAACAGGGGAGAAGGGATTGTGGCATGATCATTTCCTCTAGGGGGTGATTTTTCACTTTCCTTTTCTCTTATTTTTATTTTGACCAGGGAGAGACAGAGAGAGGGAAAGTGAGAAACCAAGTCTCCAGGTCCAGGACTCGAACCACAATTGGCCATGTGGGAGTCCAGTTCCTTAACCTCTGCGTCTCTCTGCAAGTGCGCATGCCCTATAGTAAAAGTCTTAAAAAAAATGGGTACAATTTTTGATGGGGAAGGAATGGGAGAAGAATGATTTCAGGTGAAACAAATTTTCTGTACAAAAGTTTCCAGGGAAGTAGTTACTGGATATTAAATAGGTGGGTGGATTATTGCTAATAAAAACTTATTCGTATAAAGAAAAAATATTTTTACAATTTTCAGAACTGATAATAAAGCATAATGGACCATCATGATAATCATCATCATTAACATGAAATTCCCTAAATGGTATAATTACTAACCTTTGGAAATAACAATAAGGGAATCTATACAAATTCCAATTCTATTGTGGAAAGTATTTATTTTCTTTAATATTTCTAAACATTTATTTATTTATTTAATTCTATTTGCTATTATTACTATTTGTTTTTTTACTTGACCAGAGAGAGACACACACAGAGAGAAAGGGAAAGTGAGAAAGCAAGCCACCAGGTCCAGGATTCAAATAGCAGTCAGCCATGTGGGAATCCAGCGCTCTTAACCACCATACCACCTGCCAGTCCCCAATCATGAAAGTATTTCTATTGTCACTTGGCATATGTGACAGAGCTAAAAGAAATGAAATATATTTCATCAGTGGGACACAATTCTTTCTATAAGTTGAATTAAATAATTTACTTGTCAATATACATGGAGTTAATCTTAAATTTTACTTAGTAATTATTGGTAAAACTTGCCAAGATAAGTTCTAAATTAAAAGAAATAATTGACATTTCAGATTAAAATCAGCTCAACTGTACCAATTAATCTCAATGTTTTAAGTAAAAATATAATTAGTAAATTGGAATCTTTAGGCACATATGAAATCTTCGGTACTAATTCACTTTGGTGAATCACTACAAACTAAAAAAGCAATTAAATTAAGTTAGGTATTATTAATGTAATAATTACTTTATTGATTGGCATACTTTTATATTATATCATGTTAGCCATTTGCTATGACACATGATAAGTTGGATGATTAGTAATCACACACATTTAACTTGCCTCTTGAGATGAACAGCTTGGGAAGAAAGGGAACTATAAGTGAAACAGAAAATTGTATGACATGTAAAGCTAGAGAACTTTGTGGAGCATCTCATCTTTATTAAAACCCGAACACTCCAAACAAAATGGAGAAAACAAGAGAAACACTCAATACTTAAGTAAAATTGTGCTAAAAGTATTCTATTTATCAGATTTTTAAAAACTTACCAGAATGATTCTAGGCAATGTACAGATGATAAATAAAGTTAAAATTATTATGTATGGAACCAGTGTAAAAACTGAGTTACAATAAAGGAAATAATTTTTACATCATTTTTGAAGTGTTTAATATATACACATACACACATCCACCCACATACTTGAATGTACTATTTGGTGTATTATAGTTTGAACCATTGTATATTGTTAAAGAAATGTACTGTTAAAAATTTTTTTAAAAAGAAATACATTATTTCATATACTTCTTAACCTAATGTAAATTACTTATCTTTCTTGACCTCTGTATTCTTATTTCTATTTTAAAATATTTAATTTTATTTATTATCATTATTTAATTTGCTATAGTACACATGTGCTCATCAGAGAGAGAGAGAAAGAGAGAGAGAGAGAGAGATACAGCAAGCCACCATGTCTGGGACTTGAATGCAGTTAACCAGGTGGGAGTCCACTGCCTGAACTACTCGCCACCTGCTGGCCCCTGTATCCTTATTTCTAAAATTGGTGGTGATAACAGCACCACCTCAAAGAGCTGGGCTAATTAAATGAGTTATTGCACACAAAGCCCTCCGGACACTGTCCTAGGAAAACATACTATTCTTACTTTTTAGAACCAAAAATGGAAAACCTCTCCAAAAAAAAAAAAGAAAAGAAAAAAATAGATCCAATCTTTTAAACTAAAACACACAATCTAACTGCATGAACACTTTCCCTGTTTTCCTTTGCTCATTAGCATACTTTTTTGTGTTTGAATTTCACTTGACTATGAAGTCACACTGCATATCGACAAATTATAATACTTGGTCTCTTCATGTGTGTGCCTATGTGGGCTAAAGAGGGTTTTATAAGAATACGAAAATTTATTTTGCTAATCATCAGGCTTAGGTGTACTGTTACTATTATAAAAACTGGTGCATGCCTTCACATACAATATAAAATCTAAGAACTCTATTTTTATATTTTTGAAGGTTTATTTCTTATATTAATAATATACAAGCCATATCAAGTTATATAAAAAAATACGCTTTTCATCTCAGAAATAAAAATGGGCACTTGCTATTTTATATGACATTTCTGAGTTATCAAATAAATATGAGATTATAATCATACTGTATATAGATTTTAGGATCTCTTGCAATTTAATTTGAACCTAGGTCTGTGATGGTAAAATTTTCTTTATGCAGTCCACACTATCAGGCTACTTAGAATTATAAATTATGAATAAGAAAGATATTACTTAGCAAATTTTAATTTCGGAGAAAGATAACACTGTAGTCATTAGTTCTTAAAACAGCAAAAACACGTATTTATGTGGTCTGAAATTTGTTAACAGTTTCTGGTTTATAATTAAGTTCTAAAAATAAACTTAATTATTTGGTTGTTTTTAATATAGGGCATGTGTGTTAGCCACAGAGAGACAGAGACACAGAGAGAGAAAGAGAGAGGGAAAAAGTAGTGGGAAATCTACCCTCCCCCAAGGGGGAATGGTCACACCTCAACCCCTCTCCTTCATTCTCTTCTCAGGATTTTGGGAACACATGCACATGTGCCTGGAGTGATTTTTAAGTCTCCAGGTCCGAGACTCAAACTGCATAGCCAGTCATGTGGGGTGCAGCAATTTAACCTCCATGCCAACCAGCTGGCCCCTACTTACTAACCATGATCAATACAATTCCAGCTACATTAATCAATAGGCTTCTGGTTTACAAAATGAATCTATATATTCCTATATATTATGCATACTATGACTGTGACTTCCACGTCTCTCTTTATAAAACATCTATCCCTGGCCCAGTTGTGGTGGTGCAGGTGGCTGGTCACTGCTGCATGATACCGGAGCCATGTGAAAAGGCCCCAGGTTTGAGCCTGGGTTGACCTGAGTATGCCAGGAGTGCCATACTCTTGATTAACTGGGGGAATGTGGAGACATTCTGACATGGCGAGACCCTGTTAAAGGTGTCTTTGGACAATGAATCCATCTCCCATTTACTTTACATTTAATTCAAGGTTCAAAGTAGCGTTTGTAGACTGCTATTTTAAAAATGAACTCTACAGACTAGGCAGAGGAGGAATCTTTAAGGACATTCTGATTTGTAAGGTTCTTTAGACATAAGTATACTGAAGAAGAGTCCCAGGGGACATGGATAGGAGCAGAACTGCTCAAAGAAAAATCTGTTAAGACACAGAAGTTAGAGGAGTCTTGACAGAGTGAATTGATCAGGAGTCACACAGTTTAATTTGAAATAATTTCTTTCAAGCATACTTTCATTTTTCTTTAGGTGTTCAAACTGACTGTTGTGGGAACTTTGTTTATAAGCATAATTAGTATTAATTATTAGCTACAATTTCAGAAGATAATTAAAAAGGGGTTATTAGTTTCTGTTGAGATGTGATATTAGCATTACTAGGTAGATCTTACAATTTAAGGAACTAGATAAATTTGTATTAACTAATTATTTTTAATGGCAACACAGAACCAGTGTCCAAACTAAACTGTACAATTATTAAACATATCTGTTAGTGGATATGAATGAGGAAAGGCAAGACATTATCATGTAAAAAGATCAGGAATAACGTTTGTGAATTGCCTATGTACTTTAAGATAAAGAATGAGACCAGGAAAAGAGAAAACAGCCATGGGCAAATAGAATCAATGGACTTCATTGGCTTAAATTTCCAAATGGTTTTCTATAAAATTTCTGAGCTATTAAAGCAAACAAACCATGAAAATAAGACCAAAACTTGAACATTACTTATGAATTTGAGACAACCATTTGGTGATAGGCTTAAGGTTATTTTTAAATAGTAAAAATATTTTCATACACAGAAGTGTTGCTAACATAGGCATATCCAGGAACTGATATTAGGATAAATTTATTAACATTTTCTTAATCTAAAAGAGGGAGAATGCTGTGCCATTTCCAGTGTGCAATTGACAGTAACACCTTTTCGTTGGTAAAAAGAGAAAGCTCTAACTGGCGAAATACATCAGTGAAGGTTTTCATAAAGCCAAACCAGGTACTTTTCTGGAAACAGAAGTGAAATCTTCCCAACAGAATGATAAATGTAAGTTCACCTCTGTATTTTGCTTGCCATATCAGTGTTGGATGGGTTGAAAATACAGAACTGGGATAAGGTTCATGATTTTTGAGATTCTATAGCAGGAATCTTCAACTTGAGATCTAGGATATGACACCATGGACTGGTTTCCAGGAGTCAGTAAAAGCTCTGAAATTCTGCATAAAATTTATGTGCAATCCTCACCCGACTCCATCAGATTCTCAAACTGGTTTAAAACCAAAAAATGATTATAGATCAATACCCTAAGAAATCTAGACTTGATATCGTCAAGCACATACTGTCCTTGACCTCAGAACAATAATAGGACAAAGTGAAACTGAGGGTGGGTAGGGAAAAGAAGTCTGCTGGGGGAATAGCCCTGTGAGGCTAGAGAACAAATCACTAGTCAGAAGGGATCTTCCCAAAAGTGGCAGTGGGGAGTAGATCGTAAACTCCTCACCTGGCTGAAGGGGCTTTTCTTCATGGCTATTAGTATGTTAGAAACAGACACTAGTCAATGGATCTATCATCCTGTACCACCTCCCACTGATACCAGAAGTTAAACGTAAACAACTTACGCTATATTTTATTTGTTTTGTACAAAAAGCTACTCTTCATTACATACATAAAAGTTGCTGCTATTCAGTAAAACACATATTTGTTTCAATTTCTCTCTACAAAATTAGAAATAAGATAAACTATTACTATTCACATGATGGACCTTTGTTACAACCACAGGCACATCTATCACTAGAGAGAAATTTTAAATTCAGTAACTTTTTATTACAAAAAAAACTGAAGAAAAATGTTGTGAAAGTTACCTGCAAGATTGTCGATTTCTTTCTCCTGTAGCAGACTGACTGCATCGTCATCTCCTTCCAACATAAGTTCTGTTTCTGCATTCTGGTTCACTATTGCTTGACTTCTGAATGTTTTCTTTGACTTTACTACATCTTCTTCAGTGCCTAAAGAAAAACAAAACACAGTAACTCGGTCATTTTGATTTCTTTTGCGTTTGGCATTAGAAATAACTGATTACTTTCATATTATATGTTGCATTTGCATATTAATGTACAATCACAGAACACTTTTATCTTCTTTGGTATTATGTGAGAAAGATTATAGAGGTGGGTATAACTGCCTACCCATATTTTACAGATGAGGAAACAAAAAAATCTATAAGCCTTGGGAATCTAGGAGCTGGGTGGTGGTAGAGAAAGGACTCTATAACCCATGTTTTATGACTCTACTTGGTGCATGTTTTACAAAAATCTATACCTTATGCTAAACTTGGTTTTCTGATCCATAAAATTACAAAATTTTATGCAAATATACATTTATATAAATCAGCTAATCAATGAATCAGGTCATTTTTGAAAGCAGATGAGATAGGTATAAAGAAAACAAGAAAGCATTCGCATCTGAGAGAAAGAGTGACTGGGAAGCTACACAAGGGGGAGTAATGATAGTAATAACAGACACATAGACCAACTTCAAAGCATCTTTTTTGTTTAGCGGTTAATGAAACAAATACCAGTTTTATAAAATTATATCATTGTTTTGCTGCATAAAATAACATTTAGGAAAACATTAAAACAAAAATCAAAATATAGCCAAATTCGACTTGGCATTAATGTAATTCGATGTAAAAATTAGAAATGGATATGTTTGAATCCTTCATGGAGTTGATGCTTAACAAATATTTCTCATGTTTCTACTGAAACACCAGCTTTGGTAGGTGGCAGTGGACCCAAAATTATGTGAATTACAAGCAAATCTTACATATATACCTACACACACACACACACACACACACACACACACACACACACATACACACACACACATATAGTACTTACAAAGAAATACTATTTTACATTCACTTTAAGTTTAAATACACTTTGGAAAAAAACACTGCAGTTTACTTGTTCTAGCTACAGTGTTAGGATATAGGCATCAAGGAGCAGCATTAACTGGGAAAACACCCTCACATCTCTTGTGGTATGGTGGTACAAATCTAGAAATGAGAGCCTAAGAAATCAGTCCTATACGGTGGTGTATTACAGGTCTAGATGATGTGGTCATATGTGTACCTAGACAGCTGCTTTCCAAAGCTTGTCATGCCTCCGGTCAAAATTCTCTCCAGTTACAATTGATAATGCTTTTGGTCAAGTCCTCCAGACCTGTGCCACAGGACTTCCAACAATCCATTACTGGATGTTTGCGCCACCATTTTCTCTGAAGTGCATCTACTTGCTATAAAGCTTGCACTACAAATCAGTGTTAAGTCTTTTTCTTATTTTGCCTATTATCTTGTATACATGTTTTGTGACTCTAAGCCAATTCTGTGTGCTAAAATATGAACAAATAATCTCAAGGAAAAGTTAAAAAAGAGGAACAAAACATACATTCCACATGTCACAATATACTCATATAATACATAACAAAATAAATTGAGGATATTTTCCTGCTTAATATTGCTTATTAACTATTCAGAATCAACACTCAATGCAAGACCTATACTACAGGATAAAACTGAAACTCCAAGGCTGACCAAGGCGTCTGAAACTCTCATCAGCAGTTTCATGTTAGCTTTCACCACTCCTGCCTCCCCAACTTTGGACCATTTATAGCTCCTGTGATATATCATGTTTGCTCATATTTCCTTACCTGTGTTAATGTTATTCCTTCTGTATATTATGTTCCCTCCTTCCTTTTTTTTGTCTGGCTAATTCCTACGTGCCTTTCAAAATTAATTCCTCCAGGTGCCTTTCCTAACTGACCCTACATCTCTACTCTCGGTTTACAAAGAATGTAACCACAGTATATTGGTGCTTCTCTCATGTGTCTGTCCTCTCCACTGGGCTACAGCATCATTCCTGTGGCCTCAGTGCTACACCTAGCAGGTGTACCACAAGCACTTGCTGAGCCCATGCTCAAGTTTAACACCCCTTCCCTCTAGTCCATTCCCTTCTCTAATTTCTTAAGGTAGATTTATGGGCTCTGGCTCTGAAGATTCAATTGCATCTCAAAAATCCTGCTCCTAGTAGTAATAGATGTTAAAAATGTTTGCATATTTAGCTCCACAATGGCCCAGAAGTTCCTGGAGAGTAAAGATGCTTTTTGTCTTTGTTGTCTCAGTATTTGGCACGCTCTCTGGCACAGAGCAAACCCTTACAAATCCTAAATGAATGAAAGGACTGAGACAACAGTTCCTTCTTTCCTTCTTCCCTCTGTCCCCTCCTCCAAGCTCATGATCTTGTCTCAGCCTCCCTAAATTGTTGGGATCACAAGCACCTGCTGCTGTACCTGGCCTTTAGGTTGGACCAAGAATTAGATCCGGTCCTCCATGAGTTCCCAGCGTGGCGAAGACAGGATCTTAGCAGCACCACTGTGGCTGGACCACATCTGAACATTTCTAAATCTGAAGTTCCCAGGATATCTTTTAGTAAGGTGCCTCTGGTATGAGTGAATGCAAGAATTTATGCATTTACATGAAAAACAACTTGGTTCTTTAAATAAAAGTAATTAAGGTCTTTTAAGTGTGAGCCTAATAAAATAAGTTTTCCCTTATATCACAATCATGTGTAATCTGTTTTGTCAGGAAAAAGAAAATAAAAGAAAAAAAGCTTTCTATTACACCTATGCTACCAAAACAAAAATCTTCCAATATAGGAAATGTAGTAGAAGGAAGGTAAACTCTGAAATGTATATCAAACTTTCTACTTTATGTCCTCTAGTTTTGAAGTAGTAAAACAATCATGACTGTAAAAGCTATATAGTAACTAATGCATATCAGCACACTGAGCTTAGCACTGCTGTTAAGTGTTATCAGTTTGCAGCTCAGTAAACTTCCTGATTTTATGGTACTACACCAAACATTTATCTAAATTAAAGTGTACAAGATCTAAAGGTGCTTTTCAATCACAATATCCTTTATGAATTAGAGTTTCATTCATCAAAATTACAAGCAAAAAGAGGTAAGGTCTCAAAGGGCTGTCTCATTACAAGGCTTATAAACACTGTCCTTAGAAAAATTGGTTTAACACCCAACAAATCAAAATGTGATTGGGAAGAGAATTTATTTGAGATCATCTATCTTCAGAAGACACATTGGACAAGTGCACTTCTGGCCTCTTTAGCCATTCATCAAGAAATTAACAAGCAAGTACCACAACCACCAGAATGCTTGAGATTTAAAAATGTGAATTGTGTGTAAAGCTTGATACGATATACACACTTTTTTTCGATGAAAACATTAAAATGTCACAAAATTCAAAAGTTTCAAAAGAAAGACGTGGCACCAAATTATAGATGACACCAAATCCAAAATTATGCTTGTTATTTCCTATAGCATATTACAAATAAATACAAGAAAACATTCTATACAGACTTAATGTATATAATATAAATAAATTCCTTTCATATAATTTCTCTTAACCATAGATCAAAGTGAGCAAAGATATTTTAAAATAAAGTAAGAGAAGAACTAAAATATTTCTATTTATTACTATATTCTAGTATTATTGTTACTACTATATTAATTATAATTTAAGCAGCTTTATTGTTATTTTAAATAAGCAAAAGTTAAAATATAGAAATGACAAATTGGAGCTATAAGCTTATCAGAATACCAGAATATGTCTATCTGGAATGTTCAAATGATCAAGGTAAAGAAGATAGTCCATTTGCTTATTATATTCTTTTCAATTGATAAATATAAACAATTAAAGTGATGGAAAAAACTACACAGTAGTTCATTTCTGTTTAGGGAATTTCTCCTATAGTCAGCCTTAAAGCATCTGTACTAATGAAAAAAAGAAATTTATAGCACGAAACAAGTCATAAATCATATACATAAAGATAATGTACAAAAAGACATAAACCTATAATATGCCCGTTTTAGCATATCATCAGTTTCTTATCAGTCTTATGCTATTATTATTTATAATAACATGAGTGTGGGACTGCTGTAACCTGTCATTTATTAGGAACTTTTATTGATATCTCTGTATATGTGTGTATGTACATGTATCTATTTATTCTATATATATCAACTATATAAGAATACTTTTTCCATGCTACTTTAGTGGTACAATTTAAATACATGGTCTATGGCTCATGACCTAGCCCATGCCTATTTAACTTCACTAATTTACTTTTGCACCTCACAGTCCCCAAGAATAATATGTTTTTGTTCCCAAACGGGCCACACCATCTCTGACCTGTAAGTCTGACATATGTAATTTCTTCTACGAAGAGTTCTCTTAGCTGCCTTGTTTTCTAAGATTCAGTTTTGCTTACTGCTCACTTTTCTATATAGCCTTTGTATCTTAGAAATAAGTCATGATGTATAATCACTGTGCATGTTGGAATCTTTTATTTAGGGATTCTCTCATTGAAATTTAATTTCCAGTGTGTAAAGAGCTGAATAAAATGACAATAAATGTTTGTTGAGTAAGCACATGAAAACAACACAATTCACCTATTAATTGTCACATACGCACTTAAGTTACTTTTCCTTTTAATGTCCTGTATAGCTTCTTTATAAAGAGGAAGTTGGAGTATGTGCTTTGCCATTTTTATTTTATTGTCTCTACCAATATTCTTTAGAAACCTATTTTTTTTAATAAATCTAGATCTGGAGACCAGCAGATGGCCTAGTGGTTACAACACTGGACTCCTGCATGGCCAACCACGGTTTGAGTCATACTTGGTGGCTAGGAAATCACTCCTGGCATGTGTGCACACATCCCCAAGATCCCAAGAGGAGAATGGAGGAAAAGGGATTGTGTCATGGCCATCTCCCCTGGGGAGTGATATCTCACTTTCCCTCTCACTATCTTTGTCTCTGTCTCTCTCTCTTTCCAGTGAGTGTATGTGCCCTAAGGCAAAAACCCCTTTTTTTTAAAAAAAAAATCCAGATCCATCTCCTAAATTTGTTTTTCCAAACTGTAAAAGAGCT